TTTGAGGTTTGAAAAAAAAATAAATAAATAAAATAAATTAAGTCACAGGAAGGGTCAGGACAGATTGATTCAACTCGTCAGAAAACAAATAAATTTTAATATCTACATAGTTAAGAAAAAAAGTGATAAACATGTTTGGCTGTCGGAAAAGCAAACAGCAGCCCCCTTCCACGCTCAGGAGCCTGGCGCTGCCTGCGCTATCTTGCCTGTAACATTTACAGACGTCAAGCGTTCATGCTGAAAAGCTGAAGACAAAAGAAATCCAGTTCTCTTGCAGCTGCTTTGGAGAGAGCTGCGTGGAGAACTCTTGCTTCGGGAGGGCCATTACAGACGCGCTGGCAAACTGCAAAGGGGAAACCCCCAGCAGCCCGAGAGAGGACGCTACATCCCATCATCTCAATTCCCAAACGGATCTCACAAGCGTTTTACCTGGGCTTCTCCTCGTGCTCGAATACCACAAGCGTAGTTAGACAACTAAGCGCCCTATCACAAAAGCTGACAGACCCATTAAGTGTCTGAAATAACGCCAAGAGGATATTAAACAGAATTTTATGTGGCACATTACGGTCACAGAGTAGACCCAATTAAATATAGGTCTTGGACCCTGCAGGGACCTGCCTCAGCCCTGGAGCAGCCGGAGCTGCTTTCTGCCAAGGCGGTGGCGAGAGAGGTGCCCTTGGGCAGAGGACTCGGGTCGCTGCAGAGCACGTCCCCAGCACAGCTCCAGGCCCTCTGCTTTATCGGGGAGGGAGGAGCCCGACCTCCAGGTACAGCCCTGATGGCTCAGTCAGCCCTCGGGGTCCTGCTCGCTCCCCGATGATGAGACTTACCCGATTCCAGACCACAGCTCTGAGGGCTAGGGGATAAAAACATAAAAATTCCCGCGCACGGGGCTGAGGTGGCTTCAGACTGTGCAACTGGAAACGCAGCAGACGAGCCGATGGCATTGGAGCTACTTGGAGGGGGAAAAAAAAAAAAAATAAAAATACCAGCAGCAGCCCAAACAGAGAGTCTGTCATTTCACAGCTGGGGAGGACTCTTTCAGGGAGGAACGCGGCGGCTTATCTCGTGACGTGAGATTCCAGTCACCACCGTCTCTCCAGCGACAGCGTTTGTAACCAGAGCCGAGCCAGCGCAGCCTGGAGGGCGAGGATCAAACCCGCACTGGTTCGGATCGAGTAGCAAGACATTTTCTGGCTCCAGGCATCCCTGAGCCTTGTTTAGACAAGGTGTGACTGCGCAAGTGATTCAGCTGAATGAAATAAGCATTCACAACACAGGCACCCCTGCAGTGAGCGTACAAGAACTAAAAGGACTCCTCCACCCACCACAGTCTGCTTCTCTCCAAAACCAGATCCCAACAACCCGAATTGTTCCTCCGTAGCACAAACTTTAAGGGGGAACCCACGAATTTCCACGCAAACGCCAAAGAATCTGCCAAAAGCTGAAGCGAATGGGTAACACAGCAAAGATAGCAAGGCCGAGACCCTTATGCAAAAGCGCCCCAACGCAGGCAGGAGGCACAGAGGGTAAGCAGGGCTCTCCAGCAGCCAAGCTGCTCATCTGTTCAGCTTGGTGGGTGACACAGAGACGTTGTAGAACGTTTCTGGTTGGGAAGGCGACATTTCGCCCCTATCCCCAATTCAAAAATCCCCCAACAATTTCAAAACAAACCCATCTCCTTCAAGCAGAAAGCATTAGGGTGTCATGCATTGAGAGAATCAAATGGATACTCTGGATTTTCCCAAACTTTGCCTCATCTCCCCAGTTGAAACCACCCAGCCGGTGTCACCAAAATCCAGAGCCAATTCTGCTCCCGGCAAAAGCTCCCCTGGGCCACCCTGCAGCTCTACGCAGAGGGCGCGTCCCGGATGTCTCGGCGCGAGCAGGGACACAAGCGACCCCTCCACAGGCCTCTGCCTCCCGGGGCACGGGACGGGGCTTCTCGAGGAATTTCCAGTCACGTACCCGCTGCGCCCACGGCCAAACTAACCACCACGTCGCCGGCGCTGCCGACACGGCCTCGGACTGTCACCCGTGGGACTCTGCCCCGCGCAACCGCGGCGGGCAGCCGGCGAGGGCAGACACGGCAGAGCGGGATGTGGCTGTGCTCTTCTGCTGAGGACAGGCTCCGCAGGGAGTGCACGCAATTATCCCTCGTGATAAGCGTTTCTGGAGCAGTAATAAGTGTTTCTGGAGCAGTAATACTTATCAGTTCTTCCTGCGAGGCAGGAAGCCTTAGCCCCATTTTTCATGTGGGGGAAAAAAAAAAAACAAAACAAAACAACAAAACAAAGAGTGGTGTCATTTCATACCGCTGAATTCAGCCTGAGTCAGGGATAATTTGGGCTTTCCACACCCGGGAACCCCAACACCTCGCATTACAGTTGTACGACACCTGCCTCCAAAGCTACAGGACGACTAAGCAGAAAAACCAGTCTCCTATCTGACCGAGACCCGATGTCGGCCACTTCACCGCTGCTGTTGGGATGTGGCAAGCCTCGGCAGACTGTTCCAGAAAGCCCTTTCCAAAGCTTCCAGCGAAATCTGCTAAGAAGAGGAGCTAGGGAGAGGAATGCCGGGCCAGGGGAAGTTGAGACAAGTTCCCTGGTCTGGGGAAGATGGTTAGGAGGCCAGCATCTAGGCCAAGCACTTTATGGATCTAGAGGAATAGCCAGGGCTGAACCAGCAAGCAGTTTCTTCTGCTTGCTTTCCTGACTTAAAGAGCTCTTGTGTTACCCAACAGTGGTTTGGGACCTTCGCCTCCCTAAGAACAACACAAACATGCTGATGGAGACAGAGGAAGGAAAGTTTCATGGTTGTTTAGCTGATCCAAGCTCACCCTTAGACGAGGTGAAAGGGGCAATCCTGCCCCCTCCCCACAACATCAGTGCTTAGGCAGGCTTTTTTTCCTTTTTCCTTGGATTTTTTTTGTAGGATTAGTCTAAGGCCAGATCAGTTCCCCAACCCAGCTCAGAGGGGAGAGCTGCGGGGAGGGGGTAGGTCCTGCTCTTTCAGCAGCACCCAAGACTTGGGCCTCAGCTCTTTAGGCTGCCGAGCCGATCTAAAAGAGCGGCTGGATCCTCTCGGAACAGCAAAGGCTTCAGCTGGCAGGAAGGTCTGCTGTAGCGCAGCACCCTGCACCACCTCCCCAGCAGGCAGCTGCAGGGCCAGCTGGATCGGGGCAAAATGCCACCGAGCTCGCTCCTTTTTTTGGGTAATCCTCCAGCCGGGTCACCCCCCTCTAACTGGGCTGACCCGGGGGGCTGCAGGGACGCAGGCACGGCCCCACCACCCTGGCCTGTGCACCCCATCTGCCCCTGGGCGAGACGCCCCAAACCCCCGTCCCCTCCGGCTGCGCTCGGGACGAGGGAGCTGCGAGTCCCAGCGCACAGAAGGCCAGTGGGTCGGGGCGAAGAGGCAGCCTCGGGCCCGGGGAAAGCTCCAGCAGCGCCCGTCCTGCCCCAAAACCTCCAGGGTCAACCTGCTAAGGGTGAAGAGGGGGATCCCGCCGGGGAGAGCTGCACCGCGGCTGGCTCCGCTCTGCCACGCTCCCATCCCTCTCCCCGGGGCGAGCCCGGTCGCCGCGGGGGACTCACTCAAAGGCGAAGAAGAGGGCGCAGGTGCCGAGGATGAGGAAGAGCGTCAGGTAGAAGATGCCCTTCTGCCGGGCCATCATGATGCGGCCGTCGCAGCAGAAGGTGTTCCTGCCCGGCAGCTTCTCCCATTTCCGAACCACCTTCTTCCTCGCCACCATCACCGACATGGCGGGGCCGTCACTGGGGCGGCGGCGGCCGCCACACGTCCAGGCGCTGCTCCTCCGCCGCCCCCGGCATCATCGGGGGGTCCCGCTGGGCTGGGGGGGGGGGGGGAGCTGCGGGGAGAGGGAGAGCGGCTCAGCACCGGGGCTCGGCACCGGGAGGAGGGGGGCGTGGGGGGGGGGGGGGGTCGCCATGGCAACCCCCGCGCCCCCCCCCCCCCCCCCCGGGAGGGGGATCGCTATGGAGACCCACCGGAGGTGGGGGGGGGGGGATGCGGGGCGCGGCCGCGGAGACCCTCAGGGAGCGCCCGGTGAAGGGGGGGGTGCGGCGGCGGGGCGGGCCCCGCGCAGGCCCCACCGGGAGGGGACGGGACGGGGAAGCCCCCGCCCCGCGGCCGCGCCGGGACCGGGGAGGGGAAGGGAGGGGAGGGGAAGGAGCGAAGGGAAGGGGCCGCCGCCGCTCACCGTGCGCCGGTGCGGGCAGCGCCGGGCGGGCCGGGGCCGGGGCCGGGGCCGGGGCCGCTCCGTTCCCTCAGCGCCGCGGGAGGGGCCGCCACGCCCCTCGGCCGCGACACCCATTGGCTTCTCCGCGCCCGCCGCCCCGCCCCCGCCGATCCCCGACTTCCCATTGGCCGCGCACGGCGTCACTCCGCGGCGGGCCGCCCCGCCCCGGTGCGGACAACGGGGAGGCGGGGCTCGGGGGCGGGGCCCGGCACGTGGCCGGGGGCGGGGCGGGGCGGGGCCGCGGAGGGAGGGGTGGCGGGGGGGGGGGGTGGTGTCCGTCTGTCCGTCTGTCTGTCCGCGTGTCCGTCCGTCCTTACGGCCGCGTTTTGGGGCCGCGCACCCGTTTTCCCCGCGTTTGGCACGCCCAGGCGGGCGGGGGGGGCCGCGCACGCGGACGTGGCTGCCCGGCGGGGGCCGCGCCCGGCGCCCCCCAATCCCGGGGGGGGCGGGGGGAAAAGAAAGGGAAAAAAAATTAAAAAATAAAAATTAAAAAAAAAAAAGGGAAAAAAAAAAAAAAAAAAAAAGGAAGTTTTTCCCGCGGGCGTTGCCATGGAGACGGGAGCAGCCAGCGGGGCATCTCGCCATTTCGCTGCCCCCCCCCCCTTCTCCCCCCCCGCCGGCTGCCACGGCAACCGTTACGTCACGCGGGGCGGGCGGAAGCGCGACGGGGCGGTGGCAGGCCCGGGCGGAAGCGGCGCGCTTTCCGGCTTGGAGTCGCGGCGGGAGGGAGCGCAGGCGGCGCTTTACGGCAGTTGGGCGGCGTGGGGCGCGATGGCGGGTGAGTGGCGGGGCGCGGAGGCGGCCGTGAGCGCCGAGGAGGAGGAGGAGGAGGAGGAGGAAGAAGAAGAAGAGGTGAGCGGGGCTGGGCTGGGCTCCTCTGGGCGCTGCCCCCTCCCCGGGCGGCCTGGCCGGGGCCTGGGGCGAGGCGGGGCGCCGGACCGGGGGTATCCCCGCGGCTGCTGGGCCCGGCCGGGCTCGGTAACCGCGGCCGCCCTGTGCCAGGGCCGGGAGGATGGCGAGCGGAGGCACCGGCAGCTCCTGGAGGCGGTCAGCTCCCTCTGCGGCCGGAGGCGGTGAGTGCGGGGCGTCCGAGGGGCTCCTGCTGCGGCTGCCCGGGAGCGCTTTGGGGAAAAAAAACAAAAAAAAAGGGGGGGGGGGGAAGGGGAAGGGGGGTGCTGCTCGGTCCCCGGCTCCCCACGGGGACCCCCTGGGTTTATTTTCCCGCAGGAAGAAGCTGGCGGAGCGCACGGAGGCGAGCGTGCAGGTGTCGGAGTTCCACGTCAGCTGCGAAGGTGGGACCCCCGGGGGGAGCGGGCCGGGCCCCCGCGGCGGCCGCAGCCCCCTGGACTCGGTGGTGCGGCCCCTCTGCAGGTGCTGGGGAGAAGCTGGTTCTGTCCGAGCTCCTGCAGCCCATCCGGCCTAAATCCGCCCTGGGCGCCGTGCGGAAGGAGCTGAGCAGAGTGAAGCAGCAGAAGGCGGTGGAGCTGCCGCTCAGCAAAGAGGAGGCAAAGCGGGTGAGTGGGCTCGGCAGACGGCGCGGGGGGGCCTGTGCCCCACTGCTCCTCCCCGACCCCCACGGGCTTTTCCCCTTCCTCTGCTCATCCTCACCCCTTCCCGCCCCCGCCTGCAGGTCGTGAGGGAAGCTGCCTACGTCGGGACCTCCAAAGATGTGGGCAAGTGGCAGGAGGTGGTTTTGCAGAACCGTCGGGCGGAGCAGCTGGTTTTCCCCCTCAAGCAGGAGATCCCGACGGTCGCTCCCCTGGAACGAGTGGTCTCGGCGTGGGAGGTGGGCGCCTCGGGGGCAGCTCAGCCTCTCCTGGGAGCAGCAAGGGAGGCGTGAGGAAGGCTCAGCCCCTGGCTGGGGCTCGGGAAGATTGCGAGGGGGGGTCTGCCACCTCCCTCAGGCGCTGCAGGTGTGCAGAAGCTTTCTGGGAGAGGCTGTGAGCAGAGGGCTCGGAGCCTGCACTGTCCCCTCTCCTCTTTTTGGCTGTTTAGCCCTTGACACACAGGCAGGGTCAGCCTGTACCCCTTGGCTGCTTGTGCTGTGGCAGAGCCAGGGTTTCCTCAGCCAAACGCTGCGCGTCTGTAAACCTTCCTTATAGAAGAAGGGCGCTTTTGGGTTCAAACGCGGGGGCTGCACTCCTGGCCGGGGACTCGCTGCGATCCCCGAGGGCTCTCCCAGCTCTGCAGGCGCTGGGGCGAGAGGCAGCACCCGGCGCTCACATCCACCTCCCCCGAGGTTCCCTTTTTGCTTTGGCGGGACGCAGCCTGGAACTTCTGCTGCGCGCTTCCCGCCCGGTGCCTGCGAGCCTCTTTCTCTACCCTGGGAAGAATTCTGCCTGCCCTAGCCCGGCGCTGAGGCAGGCCCGTGGCGAGCCTTGGGCTGTCTGTGCGGGACCCGTCAGCGGGGCTGGGACCCCAACCCCCCAGGAGGAGGGGGCTACGCTGCTCTGGGCCTTCCCGTGGCCACCGGGAAGGACGTTGGCTCTTGCCCTTTTTCTCACGGAGGTCTCGCTGCGCCCGGTGTGTCCCGACAGGCCCGAACGCCCCTGGAGCAGGAGATCTTCGCGCTGCTCCGCAGGACGCGGCAGCCCGTCACGGACCCGCTGCTGACGCCAGAGGAGACGGCCTCGCTGCAGGCGATGAGCTTGGAGGAGGTGAGTGCTCTCCCTCCCCGCCGTGCCCCGGCTCCACACGCCTCTTCCCCCCGCGCTCATGCTGCGCTCCCCGGCAGGCCCGGCAGCGGCGGGCGGAGCTGCAGAAGGCTCGGGTCCTGCAGTCCTACTACGAAGCCAAAGCTCGGCGAGAGAAGAAAATCAAGAGCAAGAAGTAAGGCTCTGCTGCCACACTCGCTGCGGTGGGAGCGGGCTGGGTCCCCGCCGTGGTGCTGGAGCTGACCCGGCACAGCCAAAACCTGGAGGAAGGCAGAGCAGCCCCCTTCCTTCCCGGGACCCGCGTTCCCCGGGGCCTTGCTCACCGCCCTTCCGCCCTCGCGCCGCAGGTACCACCGCGTGCTGAAAAAAAGCCAGAGACGCAAGGCCTTGAAGGAGTTTGAGCTGCTGCAGAAGTCGGACCCCTCGGCCGCCTTGGCGAAGCTGGAGGAGCTGGAGCAGCTCAGGATGCAGGTGCCGCCTTTGCGGTTCTCCCCCCGCCCTCGGGAAGCCCCTGCTCCTGAGGCTGCTCGTTCTGATGCTTCTCCTCCTCTTCCTCCCAGGAGCGGATGAGTCTTAAGCACCAGAACAAGGGAAAATGGGCCCGCTCCAGGGCCATTGTGGCTAAGTATGACCTGGAGGTGAGATCACAGACTGGTTTGGGTGGGAAGGGCCCTTAAAGCCCCCCCCAGTGGCACCCCCTGCCCTGGGCAGGGCCCCTTTCCCCCAGCCCAGGGGGCTCCCAGCCCCGTCCAACCTGGCCTTGAACCCTTCCAGGGAGGGGGCACCCACAGCTGCTCTGGGCGCCCTGGGCCTGCGCCTCACCACCCTCAGTATCAATTTCTTCATTATATCTAACCTAAATCTACCCTTTTTTGGTTTAAAGCCCTTGCCTCTTACGCTGTCATTACAGGCCTCGGTATAAGATCTTTCTCTATCTGCCTTATAAACCCCCTTTATATATTGAAAGGCCCCGATAAGGTCGCCGGTGGTGGTTGGGGAAGGGGGAGGCAGCTGAGGTGGGGCGAGGAGGGTGGGCACGTTGTTTCTGGCCTGCGTTGGAAACCTCTCGGTCCCCTCCCAGGCCCGCAAGGCCATGCAGGAGCAGCTGGCCAGGAACAAGGAGCTGACGCAGAAGGTGCGGGTGGAGCTGCCCGAGGAGGAGCCGGGGGATGTGCCTGAGGAGGAGCTGGCGGCGGTGACCGTCCCCGCGGGAGCCAGCGGAGCTAATCCCTGGATGCTGGGCCAGCCCAGCGGCCCGGCCGAGGAGCCCGAGGCCCAGGAGGGTCTCGGAGATGTCGCAGTGCCTGGCGCTGCGGAGAGCAAGGAGGAGATGGAGGAAGAGGAGGAGGAGGAGCTGTCGGAGGAGGAAGCTCTGCTACAAGACTTTGCGCAGAAACGGCACGTGCGGCAGCAGCGGGCAGGGAGCCCTGAAGGACAAGGTGAGGAGCTCGCGGGGCCGGGGGCTGTTTTCTGCCCAGTTCCACACAGCTGGCCTGCGCTCTCCCTCCCCGCTCCTGGGGGGCTTTCTCACCCCCTGCCTCAATGTGTAGGTGCTGGTGAGACAGAGGCAGGTCCTGATCTGCTGGGGGAGGGCCCCGTCTGTGCCGAGGAGCAGGCGAGCGGAGGGCTGGAGCTGCCTCCCCAGGCCCAGGAGCAGCTCCTGCTGTCGGAGCAGCTCGGCCGGGTGCAGACGGTGGAGGACGTCGAGGCTCTGGCCTCGGAGGAGCGGGTGGAAGAGCAGGAGAACCAGGCGGCCACGAGGGCAGAGAAACCAGCAGCCACGAGGGCAGAGAAACCAGCAGCCATGAGGGCAGAGAAACCGGGAGCCACGAGGGCGGAGAAGCGAGCGCAGCAGCGGGAGGAAGGCAGAGCTGGGGACAAAGGTGCCAAGAAGCCCCCGGCCAAGAAGAAGATGATTAGCCTGCGGGCTGTGCTGGCTGGGAAGCCCCAGAAGGTTCTGTGCCCCAACCTGCCTGTGGTCATGGAGGAGGAGGTGAGAGCAGCATGGGCCTGCCCCTTGGCGCCAGGGCGGGGTTTGTGGGTCCCAGGGGGACTGACTCCTCTCTCCCCAGGAAGGTGGCATCGACCAGAGAGGGGTGATCACAGAGGCCTTTGCCGGCGACGACGTGGTCGCCGACTTCCGCCGGGAGAAGCGCAAGGCAGAGGAGGCTGCGAAGCCGCAGCCCGTGAACCTGGTGCTGCCGGGCTGGGGCGAGTGGGGAGGCACGGGCCTGAAGCCCAGCACCAAGAAAATAAAACGGTGAGTGTGGAGGAAAAAGCTGCAGCACCGTCCCTCGGCCCGGCGCCAGGGCCTGACGTCTCGCTTGCCCGGCAGGTTCCTGCTCAAGCCGCCGCCGGCACCTCCCAGGAAGGACCAGCACCTGCCCCACGTCATCGTGAGCGAGCGGCGCAACATCCACGCGGCAGCGCACCAGGTGGGTGACGCCCGGCCCCTGCCACCACTTTCGGGTCACCCGTTCCCAAAACATCCTCAGTTCCTGCCTGCGCACCCTGCCTGGCCCTTGACAGCGGGGCGAGGGAGGGAGGAGGAATTTACAGGGCTCCGGGGGGTCTGCTGAGGGGGGGTGGAGCGAGGGGCAGCGGGGGGGGGAAGGACAGTGGGAGCGTGGGCTGGGAGTCACCCCGCTGCGCTGTGTCCCCGCAGGTCAGCGACCTGCCCTTCCCCTTCGAGAGGCACCAGCAGTTCGAGCAGAGCATCCGGGCGCCCCTGGGCCCCACCTGGAACACGCAGCGCGCCTTCCAGAAGCTGACCGCCCCCCGCGTCCTCACCCGAGCCGGCCACATCATCCAGCCCCTCTCGGCCGAGGATGTCCCCGACCTGGCCCCCGCGGCCAAGCCGGCGCTGGAAGTTGTTCCCAAGCAGCACGAGCAGCCCCTGGGCCGCCGGCGCAGGACAGCGCGGTAGCCTCTGCGCCCACCTCCCCCTGCTGCTGGCACCGGGGGAGGGAGGCTCCCAGTCCGGCCCAGTACCTCCTGCTTCCCCCCCCCCCAACAATAAAACTGGGCAGCCTCGTCCGTGGGACCTGCCTGCGTGCCTGCCCCGATGGCTGGTGCCCCCCTGCCTGGCCGTGGGGCTGGGTGTACTGGGAACAGTGGGAGCACCTCGCCGTGGGTCAGGCTGGGAGCACGGTGTGGGAGTGGAGCAGCCACCAGGGCTGGGTGCCGCCTGCCCTCTGCTTTTTGTCTTTCATACACTTTTTTTAATATATATATATATATATATATATATACACACACACTTTTTTTTTTTTTTTTTTTAATTCTGGCTGAAGGGGCTTTTCTCACAGCCCTGCTGCCCTGAGCCCAGCCCCACACGCCCACCTGCAGCTCCAAGGGACCTTCTGCCCAGCTCTCATAACCCCGAGGAGCTGGGACCTGGCACAGCCCCCCCTGCCCTCATCCTGCCCAAGCCCCCCCCCTCCGAGGGTGACAGCGGGGTCCTCCGTGCACCCAGCACCAGCGCAGGGAGGTGCTGGGGTCTCGGGGTGACGGATCTCTCCAGGCCCCTCTCCCAGCTCCAGAAATGCTCCCCGGCCTGCGCGGAGGAGCTGGAGCTGCTGCTGCTCCCGGGACGCGTGTCGCTCGCGCCGGGGCTGAGACCCGGGGGAGCAGCAGGATTTGTCCCTGGGCCGCGGCGCTGGGGCAGAGCTGCTGCGCTCACCCCTCTCTCCAGTCACCCTTGTCCCTGGCAGCTGGGTCGTACCGGGGAAAGGGGGGGGTTGGCCGTTACGGTGGGTGCCCTGTGCCTCCCCCGGTCCCACCCCGAAGCCGTGCGGGACGCTGCGGGACGCTGCCTGCTCCCTGGCCTTGCCTGGCACCCGGCCCCTGTGTTGCTGACCCCCACGCAGCACCCTGGGGCACCCACATCGCGCTCGCCTGCTGCCGGGGCTGCGGTTGCGTTGCATGAATTTAACCCGGGCTGAAAGAAAAAAAAAAAAAAAAAAAAGGGAAAGGAAGCAGAGAGCATTTCCGTGCTGTGACGCTGGCGAGCCCCTCGCTGGGCTGGTGGCCCCAGCTCGGAGCCCGGCTCCCCTCTGCCCTGCCTGCCCCAAAAGCCGTGGGAAACCTTCGCCCCCGGCCCCGGGGGTGCCACGGGGAGTGGGGGGGGGGGTTCTCCTTTAGCGAAAGCCGGAGCGCAGCGGGGCTGGGGGAAGGCAGGGGCGGGCACGGGATGTGCGCAGCCCCCCCACCCCGGGTCCCTGGGGCAGCGCTGTCCCCGTCCCTCCCCGCGGGGACCCTCCCCAGCCCCCGGGTGGTGCCCGGCTGGGTGCGATGGGCTGTCGCGGGGCTCGGACCACAGCTCCCAGTACCGGGATGCTCGAAGAGTTACCTGGGCTGGGAAGGGTCTGGGGGGGATCTCGATGCTCAGAGCAGTGTCTGCAAGGATGGGGAGCCCCACAGGCCTCTCTGGCCTCCGTCAACCCGCCCCATGGCAAAGGAGTGTTCCCTGCACCCCGGGGATGGGCTGCACAGCCCCGCGGAGTCTGGCCCTGCCCCACGCCAGGGTGGGACCTCCTCAGCTGCCCCAGAGCCAGAGCGATGCTCCCTGCTGGGGCTGGGGCGACGACGGCTCCAGGACAGTCCCTGCCAGGGGCGCAGGGCCTGGAACCAGCTCAGGCCTCGGTGGAGAGGGTGGGTGGACGGCTGGCAGGAGCTGGGACCTGCCCCACGCCGAATTCTGGCCGGTGGGTCCCGCAGTGTGAGCGTGGGTGATGCCCGGGCAGCGGTGAGAGGGGACGGCTTCAAGCCCCAGAGCTGGATGCGCCTCATCATGTGAGGAAGCTCAGCGCTGGGCTGGACTGGGCTTGAACTGCGGCTTCCAGTATCCTGAGATGCTTCTAAAATAAATGCGGGATGCATCAGGGTGAAGCTGCTGGGGGTGAGTTAGAGGAGGGACCCCGATGCAGCGGGGCCACTGGTGCTGCTGGGCCAGTTCGCCCACTCTGGCACAGGCTCCGCCGGAGCTGCTGCGCTCCGGCATCAAGGACAAGGGTTGTGCCCCCGACTTCCCTGCAGAAATAAATTTGTCGGGCACAGGGCTGTCAGTGCTTGCTTTTTTTTTTTTTTTTTTTTAATTAAAAAACAATTCCAGGTCTACAAACCGCTGCAGGAAAAGGGGACGCTGGGGATGCCCGCTGGCGGCTCGCAGGGCGGTGGGGAGGGGGAGAGGAGCCGTGGCTGGGGGGGGGCAGCCCCGTGCTTGGGGGGGGGGGGGGGGGGGGCGGCTGTCGCTCACCGCGGGGTGGCAAAGGGGCCGGGGAGCCCCGGGGGGGGCCCCGCACGGAGCAGGCACTGCTGGGGAGCGGGGAGCCACGGCGCGAGTGCGCATGGTGCACGCCTTCCCCCGGCCGCGCGAGCGTCACGTCCCCCGGGAGAGCGGCGAGCGGCTGCAGTTTGCTCTTACTGGCCTACTTTCTGGGCTACGTCAAAGCCGGGCTTACAGAGCCGGGAGCCTCGGCCGAGCCGCTCCGGGTGCCAGCAGGGAGAGGTGGCTAATCCCGGCTCGGCCAGCCCGGCTTGGCCGGCACCCATGGGTGCTCGGCCCGGGGAGGGGGGGGAAGCCGGCAGCAGGCGCGGGCAGCGGGGCAGGGACGGGAAGCGCTGCCGCGGGGCTGTGCCTCGCCCGGCGCCGTGTCCCCAAGCTGGGGAAGCGGCACAGCCACCGCCGGTGTCCCCCCGAGCTGCCCCGGGGTGGGGACCCCGCCGTGCCCGAAGCGCAGAGGCCGCTCCAGCCGGGCTCCTGCACCCACCACCCTGGGGGACCAGCGGGAGCTGAATGAAAGTAAAAGGCAGATCTAAAATTAACAAATAAAAGGATTTTGGCGGTTGGTTTTTTTTTTGTTGTTGTTGTTTTGTTTTGTTTTTAAATACAGGCTATAAATAACCTGTAAAATATTTTGTCTGGGCTATTTCTGAGGGTGAAATCTCAGCCCTCCAGCTTCCCATGCCACAGGACATGAGTGCGAGCACCGGGACCATCCCTCGGAAGGGTTCCTGCACCTTTGCTCACTGGCACCGGGGTATTTCCACGTCCCTGAACGCCTCCGGCCCTCACGGAGCAGCAAACGGTCCTCCCCAGAACGGGCCTGCCTGTGCCCCGGGGTTGGAGAGGGGTGAGCCCCCCCAAAACCCCACAGCGGTGGGAAGCTCTGCTTGGCGCAGGGGAGGCAGATTTTGTGTTGTTTTTTTAGGAGCAGGACCGCTTCCCCCCCCTCCTCGATTTCCCCATCCCTCCTGCCCCTGTGCTGGGGACAGGGGTGGCCGGCACTCCGTCTCCTGCTCCCCCCGGCCCCCTTTGGCCTCGGAGGGGGGGTCCGGCTCTTCTCTATCACCCGCAACCAGGAGCACCCCGGGCACCCCCAACCCTCCCGCCGTGGGCACCGGGTGCCCGGCCGGTGCATCCCGGCCTGCACAGCCGCCGCAGCCGCGTTTCCGTGGAGATGGCATCTCCCCGAGCCCGCACAGCCTGAGCGGGAGGGTTTCCATGGAGATGCCGTATCCAGCACAGCACAACCTGAGCAAAGAGATTTCCGCCGAGATGCTGTCGCCGGGACCCTTGCGCCCGCAGCGGGGCCATTCCCGCGGAGGCGGGTGGCATGGGGTGGCACCCAACCGCTTCTCACCCCGCGTTCGGTGACGGGCGCCGGGACACGGGCAGCTGCCGGCTTTGAACGGTCGTTGGAGCTGGAGCAGCCACCAGCCTTGTCACCCGGCCGGGGTGGGGACCCCGTCACTTGGGTCATGCTGCAACGTGACATTCTGGGTCTCCCGGAGGTGACGGGTCCCTGTCTGTCCCCAGCTGACGGCGGAGGAGAGGGGGAAAGTCCCCGTATCCCCTGGATGAGTTTGTCCCAGCTGCCACCCTGCAACTCCCACGGCGACGTGCTGGGCACGTCGGGGACAGAGAGGGATGTCAGGGCCACCGGGTGGGGAGCGGGGCACTGCGCTGGCCCCCCCACCCCTGGGGTAACCCAGTAGCTGAGCCCCAAACCAGCAGCATCCTGGAGCTGGGGGGTGTCTGGCTGGGCTCCGGCAGAGCCGCAGCACCAAAAACCTCCTCGGGGAGAAGTGAGGGTCCCCGGAGGGGTGGGTTTGAGGCAAAGCCGGGGGCAGTGGCGGGGAGCAGAGGCTGTTCAGACAGACGTCCTCATGGCAGGCGGCTGCACGGTACGTGTGCCCTGGCCGGCGCTACAAAAGCAGCCTCCGCTTAAACACAGCTACCGCAGAGGTCGCAGTCATGCGTTCCGCACACAGCGAAATCCTGATTAGAGGCGAGCCCCGGCTGCAAAGACAAGGCGCAAGGAGCGCGGAAGCACCGGCGGGGGACACGCTCCTGCCCGCTCTGTGCCTGCGGGAGATGGGGGGGGGGAGGCCCCCGCTCGGCCCCTGCCACCCCCCCCCGCCTCGGCCCCCTCTGCGCTCCCCGCTCCGCTCCCTGCCCGACCTCGCTCCAGCTGCCCGCGTCCTGCCCGCAGCCAAGGCCGGGGCTTCCCTGCCCACGAGCAGGGTCCCCCCCGGCGTCCCTGCGCGCAGCACGGCGTCCCTCACCCCCGGCCCCCCCAGCACCGGGGAGCTGGGGGGTGGGGGGGCGATGCCTGCGGCTGGGCATCGGTGGCCACTCCAGCCCGCAGCCATCCCCGGGGCTGCTGGCAGCGCTTTCGGCGTCTCCAGGCACGGGCTGTCAGATGCAGCGTGCGTTGCGGTCAGAGACGGGCTCTCTTTGTCTCCGGTTACAATTAGGAGCCCTCGGCGGCTCCCAAACCCGGCCGGGGGGGCTCGGGGGTGGAGGACGGGCAATAAAGGAGCTGGGGATCCGGTGCAGCAGCCGGGGAGCAGGGGCAGGCCCAGCTCTGCCCGCAGCGAGCCGCCCTCCGGAGCCTCCTGCCTCAAGGTCCTCGGGAAGGGGCTGGAGCAGAGCCCAGGCTCGCTGCGGGCGTCCCTCCCGCCCCTTCCAGCCCCGCTGGGCCCCTCAGCCTGTTTTCTGGGGCTCCCCAGGCACCCCAAGCTCTGCTCAC